AATTGGATAAAGGGAATCTCATTTCTTCAAGCCATAGTAGAATGGCCTCACGTCTATGGATCCAATTCAACATATACAGTCATGGTTTTAAAGTCTTTAAAAGAGTACCAGTTCTCCTTACATTTTTCCTTGCCAATAACATTTTTTCTTCTCTTCCCATGTTTATTAAAACAAGGAATTGATTTCAGAATTTGTAAATTTGCTTAAGACTATACAACGATTGTAAAGAAGTATGGAAAGACATGATGCAAAGTGAAGTAAGCAGTGCCAGGAAAACAAATGTACACAATGAACACAACAACATAAATGGAAATAACCACCACAATTGAAAATGAATGTTGTAAAATTATAAAGTATAGGCTTGGCCCTGAAAAAAGATATGAGAAGACTCATCCTGCTGATTGTTTGCAGTGGGTGGGGAGGGTCAGAAATGTTGAACATGGCATATAATGTCAAACTTTTTTCAATGTATTAATTAGTAATGGTGAATTTTTTTTCTCTTCCTCTTTCTTTCTATTTCTTCCAGGAAAAAAAAAACTTTTTAATAAAGGACACTCTTTGAGGAGGAGCAAGAAAGATACAGGGGGAAATCTAGCTATGGCAAAACAAATAAATATTAATAAAATACATTAATTTTTAAAATTCCACATAAAGCACAATAATATATTCCTTTCAAAAATTCCACTGTTGCATCAGACTTAGGATCCCACAGTGGAGACCTCATTTTGTAATTTGAGCCCACATAATACTCTTCAAATAGCAACTTCTTCCATCAAAAAACAATCTTTATATATGTACGGTATTGAAAAGCCCCTGGAAAGGCCATACACAGGAACCTTTGTACTGGGACAAGCACCATAAACTAGTCCAGAGGTAAGTGACATGAACGGTGCACTCAGATGAAGTGCTGGTAGACCACCTTGTGAGGAGAAATAGAGACACTGGGACACCATGAGACTGCTGCTGGGGTACAGTGTCAGGTCAGGACCTGGCACTCTTCACTCCTAGTTCACTCCTATTTCAACCAGATTGTTATAATTTGGCCTCCCAGAGAGGGACAGGCATATGGGGACAGTACTCCTTTTACAGCAACAATCCTTCGTTGTCAAGACAGGGGTGTGTGGTGTGTGTGTGTGTGTGTGTGTGTGTGTGTGTGTTGTGTGTGTGTGTGTGTGTGTGTGTGTGTGTGTGTGTGTGTGTGTGTGTGTGTGTGTGTGTGTGTATCAGACAGACAGACAGAGACAGAGAGAACGATTCTTCCAAACACATTCTGGCCCCAAGATCATCCTCTACCTCTCACCTCCCAGTCACTTAAGCTCACAATCCAGGTGTCACCCTTGACACCTCTTCCCCCATCCCTATAATCAATCTGTTGACCAGTTCTGTCAATTTAACCTTTGTAACATCTCTTACAAGTACCCCCTTCTGTCCTCTGACATCATCATCACCATGAGGCAAGTCATCACAGCAAGTCCAGACTGCTGAAATATCTTGTCCGTTAGTCTCCCTGCCTTGTGTCTCCCAAGTCTAGTCCACCTTCCAATCAGCTGACAAATTAATCTTCCCGAAAAGCTAGTTGAACCCTACCATCCCCCTAATTCAATAAACTCCAGTGGCTCAGTAACACCTCCTGGATCCTCTGTGTGCCATTCAAAGCCCTTCATAACCCAGCCCTCTCCTAACACTTTACTCATAACCTCCCCTGCCCCACACCAAGCATTCTATAATTCAGCAATACTGGTTTCCTTGCTGTTCCATGAACAAAACACTCTACCTCACAACTTGGGTCATTTCCCCCCACTCTCTGCCACACCCAGCACACTCTCCTTCCTCATCCCTGACTCCTGGCTTCCACGGCTTCCTTCAAGTCCCAGCTAAAATCTCACCTTCTACAGGAAGCCATGCCTTTTCTTTTTCTCTTTTTTCTGCTTTTTCCTTTCTATATATGTATTTAAACTTAAATACACAATAAGAAAAGGAAAAGAAACATATTACAAACTTAAATACTAAAACTTAAATAAAAATAGGGAAAGAACAAAAAGCATTGCCATGTGCACAGCAGAAAGTAAAAAAGGATTCAAAATACACAGTAATAAATTTCCATTTCAAGAAAGCCTACGTGATAAATACTGCATGTTGTGTTCAGAGCTGTCCATCTTTCCTTTGCTTCCTGTGAGTTTGTTCTCTGCAGGGTACTTTTTACTTTGTTCTTTTTTCTTCCCCACCTCCCCCAAGAAGGCTACAGTTAAGTATAGCTATACATACACACACACACCCCCCCTTTTTTTTCTTCTTCCCCACCTCCCCCAAGAAGGCTACAGTTAAGTATAGCTATACACACACACACACACACACACACACACACACACCCCTTTTTTTCTTCTTCTTCCCCACCTCCCCCAAGAAGGCTACAGTTAAGTATAGCTATACACACACACACACACACACACACCCCTTTTTTTCTTCTTCTTCCCCACCTCCCCCAAGAAGGCTACAGTTAAGTATAGCTATACATACACAACACACACCAACATATGTATACACATGTATGTACATACATATATAAGCACATACACACATGCCTACATATGCATACACGCATACATGTACTCACACATTTATAAACACATGCATATACACATATACCTATATATGTATACACATAAATATGTACACACACATATAAGCACACACACATATACATACACACATACACCCATACCTATATATGTACATACATATATAAACACATATACATAAATATCACGAACATATATATACACATACATACATACACTTATATATACAAACATATGCTTAGATATCTATAATTATTCTCATATGCAGACATATACATTTATATGCATCTACATAAGACCATATTATACTTATTTGTCTCTGTTTCTCTGAGGGTAGACAATACCTTCCTTCATAAGTCCAAGTCTTTCCATATTTTTCTAAGTTCACCAACTCATTATTTCCTATACCAACCTTATACTGTCTACTTATTTTAAAAAGTCTCAGGAAGCATTCCTAATCCCCTTCAATGCTAGTGCCTTTTCTTTAAAGATTATCTCCAATTTATCCAGATATATAGCTTGTTGTCTTGCCCATTAGACTATGAACTCCTTGTGAGAAGGGACTGGTTTTTGCTCTTTTTTATATATCTTAGCACAGTGCTTGGTATACAGTAGGCATTTAATAAATGACTGCTGACTGAGTCAGGTTCTTCTGTTGGGAAAGTTTGATTAACTTGGGAAAATAAGGCTTTAATGGAAGTATCATGTCCATGGGATGAGAGGCCTTCCAAAAGTGGGTGAAGGACTATATCCTTCCCCTGCTTTGCCCTCTCTGAAGTGGACTATCCTACTTCTGGGACTGGACCATGCTGAGAAGTAACTACCACTAGGAACTCTGAGGTCTAAGGAATAACTTCTTGACTCTGGGGCAGCCTCCTCTGGCTCTTGTCCTCCACACAGTGCCTCCAAGGCCCTGAAGTACCCCTTTATCAACTTACAGTGAGCCCATCAAACTTTTACCTCGATCTTCCCACCCTTATCACTGCCACTTCAGACAACTGGGAAAGTTTAAGTATCTGGGAAGAATATAATTCCTAGAAAATAGAAAGCACCCCTTCCACACCCCTAGGGTTGAGAGAGGCAATGATATTCTTGGGAAGGCAGGGCCCTAGAGTAGGGAATGTGGCACTCTCCCTTTTGATTTGTCCCCCTTATAATCCCTTTTCTCCTGGACCAATCATGACAGGAGGCCTGCTTCTAATCCCCAGGATAGCTGGCACCTGTTCTGACTCCCTAATAAGGAGATGAGATGTGTTATGAGGTGTCCCTTGACCGCTGTTCACCCTGAGGTAGCAATTCATCGGGCCAGGGCAGAGCTTCCTCCTTCACCCCTACAACAGACCAGAACTCAGTCCTGCCAGATGTATAACCTCAGATGTGGATGTGATCCCTTAGCGGGAGCCCTCTTTTTCCCCACCCTACTCCTGCTGCCTGGCGTCCCATGACTGGAACTCCACTCTATCATTAGGCTCCATCCGTGCCCTACTACCAGGTTCCATATGGTCTTTTTCCTGAGTTTAGGAAGACAAGTGCTGTTGGGGCTCTTTAAATTACCTACCCTTAGTCAAATCCCTGCTATGGGGCAAAAACTGGTTTTTCTGATTTTTTATAACTCTGCACCTTGGTCTACCCTTAGTCAAATCCCTGCTATAGGGCAAAAACTGGTTTTTCTGATTTTGTTATAACTCTGCACTTTGGTGGCTATAATGTCCTTGAAGGTCAGCAGTGTTTATTAAATTCTCTACTTTCATGTCTTCTGTTTATGTCCCAGCTGTTGCTTGGGAAGCTCTAGGATGGAACAACATGAAACCCACCAAGTCTTCCCTCTTACTGGTATTATTCCATAGAACCATACTGAGAATGGGATACAACTGTTGGCTTCAGCAGGCCAGGCTGTTAGAATGATAACTTTTGGATCCTGCCATCTGGGTTGTTTCAACAGTTTTGAAGGTGGCCCTGCCTTAATTACCTAGCACACATCTCTTTTTCAGGCTACATGGTCTAAGGACAAAGGTAATCTTCGCCCTTCCATTGTGGTACAGATCAGACTTATAACTGAAGAGTTGTCCTAGTTCTGTGCTCCCTGTCCACCTATCCCACAAGGCTGACTTATCTTCAAATATTATGAGGTATTTCTATATTCTTCCTTGAGCTTTCTTACATCAATGTGGAGATTTTAACTTTTCAAAGAGCTTCCATGTCTACTGTTATCTCACTTGGCAACATGAACTAGAATTGAAATTGTAATTCAACATTTACTAAAGGGACATGTTGCTGCATTCCCAGCACCATGCTAGGCACTGGAAAAGGCCAGGACAACAGATACCTGCCCAATGCACTAATATAATTAATTCTGTGTGGCTCATATAACCTTAATATTCAGAGCCTCAACACCCAGGACCTGATGAAATTAAGTCATACCTGAATAGGATCCTGTGTCAGTCTCATCGGCCCAATTCGTACTTCCGCGGTTGAAACCTGCTAAATAAAAGACAGAACACATGAGGTTTGTTGAGCATTAGATTGGACGTGTTGAAGGCATTTTGAAGGAAGGACCAAACACCCCATTAAGAAAAAAAGATTGTGAATAAGAAAAAGGCTGTCTTTTAAGTAAAGACTAGTTAAGTTAAATAAACTGTACATAGCTCTGACAGATCTGTGTTCTTCTTATGAGTATCTTTACGTAGAGTGTAAATGACTTATTCCAGTCCATGTTTCCCAAGAATAAATGACTCATTTTCATCTCATTTTCCTGAAAGAAACTAAGTAATTAAACTTGGCCATTATTATTAAGTTCCCTAAATTCTGTCTTCCATTTCTAAAAATTAAAGACTAAATCTTTCAATTTCTTGTTTGCTAGGAAATAAAACCATCTGACATGCTTTGGCTTCAAATATTCTGACATGGTTTTTTGTGTCTTTGCTATTATTTCACTTATTTTTTAAAAGATTTTTCCCTGAACAACTTTTCTTAAAAGTTTGGGGCAGAAGACATTCTGAAAGGCACCCTCTCCCATGCAGATTCATCCCCAACAGAGGTTCAACTTTCATTACTATTACTCTGGAAAGTTGGCAGCCAATGGACTCTACCCCAGCCATCCTCTGAATATGTTAATGCCAGAGATACTGCACTAAATGGAAATGGTTGATTCAATGAAGTTTTACAGAAACAAAAGCCAAGACTCTTCTGGACCATTCCAGAAAAATTTTCCTGTTCACGTTTCTGTCTGTGTCTGTCTGTCTTTTTCCACATAGTAGCCAAACTCCCCAAACACAGCCAGCTATAGAGTATTACAAAACCAAATCATAAGTTTTCAATATGGTTTTTTCTTCATAAATTATTTCTGACACCCCTTACCCCTTCTCCCAAGAGATCAGTGATTCCCATTGTGTTACAGAGTGATGTCAGGTGCTTCAAACAATGAACAGGCCTCTCACCATAGCAGATGACTGACGGAAAAAGTCACAGTGCCCTGAAATTACTGCTCATCTGTGGGCAATTTCCACTCTGTGGTCTGTATCTCATAAGTGCAAAGCGGTGCTCTTTCATTCTGGCAATCACAACTGAGTGCCCAGGAGCCACTCAGGTTTTTCCCTCAATCACCTCAAAGCAGAAACCAGAAGGAAGCTGGGTCAGTGAATAAGGCTCAAGCCCCAACCAAATTGGGGCTACAATTTCAAGAGAGGTACACACCTGAATGTGTATCAGACCCAGCAAAACAGATGGGTGATTAATCTAGCCCTTTGGCACATACGCCATTTTGTTCTCTCTTGTTGTCATCCAGTAAAGGCAATTCACAAAAGTACCATGTCTGGCTTCTTGAACACTCTTTTGAATCATTAATGCTGATATCAGCATGCCTAGGGACCACAGCCCCAAGAATAGCTCCAACCTGACAGAGTCGTTAGATTTTCATGCGTCACTGAGCTACTTTGTTCCTCCCATCATACATCTAAGGGAGTTATTGTTTAAAACTGGTAACCCTTCCTTTAAAGGAGCTCAACACTCGGGATTTTGCAATGAAGTACATTACAAAATGTGACGTTAATTTAATACATGTTGGGTTGTTTGCTTTTACAGAATTCTGAATCTGGTTTTCAGCATTCTCTGTGGTCTCTTTTCCTGGTTTATAACACCCTCCTGTTTTCCCAGTTAACTTTCCTCTTTCCTCTGAATTGGTTTTCTCCTTTCCATTCCTTCTGTTTGCTCCAACTAACCAAACTAACAGAACCCCCTCCACCCCTTAGGTCAAATGAAAAGAAATGGTCAGAAGCTACTTGCCTCTAAGGGCTAAAAGATGATTTGAAAATAACCTTGTGGAAGGACGAGTACTTTAGATTGTTTAGAATTCTGGCACTAGCGCACTGAATAATAATAGTAATGAATAATAAAAAATAATAGTTTAAAATACTAATGGTAATAAATAGTAATAAATAAACAAGTAAATTAAAATATTGTATTCATGTTGTGCTTTTTCCTTTCTAAAGGGCGTTTCACATTTATTATTTGAAATGGAAGGAAGAAACAGGGCATTTAAGGTAGGAAGAAGATCAGGATTCTTCCTCAGGAATCAGAGGGATTGGCCAATGAGGACCTAGTGCTTAGAACAAAATTTATATAACCCATCAAGGAAGATCAAATCAGAACATGTTCTAAGAGCTGCGTCCTCATTGGCCAGTCTCACCATTATACTCTCAATACCTGCAAAAAGCTTGATAGCCAAATACATATTTGTCCATTTTGTAGACCAGTATAGATATAGTATCACTCAAAAAGATTAAAAAAGTTTACGTATGGGTTGCCATGACAGCAAGAAGAATATAGAAGAAAAAATGTTAGGTCAACCAGGACAAAACCTCTAGAAGGAAAATTCAAGTAATTTTTTGAAGGTAAAAAAGAAAGCATGAAGTCATTTCCCTAAATATAAAAATCCACCAATATTAAGTACATTTGAAGCAAGTGAAAACTCAATAAGTCATCAACTCATTTTGTTGTTTTTGAGTCATTTCAGTCATGTCTGACTCTTTGTGACTCCATTTGTTTTGTTTGTTTTTTGGCAAAGATACTGGAGTAGTTTGCCATTTCCTTCTCCAGCTCATTTTACAGATGAGGAAACTGAGGTAAAGAGGCTTAAGTGACTTGCCCAGGGTCACATAACTAGTAAGTATCTGAAGCCAGATTTGAACTCAGGAAGATGAGGCCCAGCACACTGGCCACTGTGCCACTTAGACTCCCCTATCAACTGATTAGGGATTGGCATATTCAGTATCACTGTACCACCACCTCTGGATGATTATAACAGCTTTTGACAGGTTCTATTACAGTACTCTTATTAAGTGACTTAGAATCACAGAATGTCAGAACTGGAAAAAGTCTTAAAGGTCATCTAGTCCAACTCATCATTTGACAGATGAAGAAATCAAGGCCCAGGGAGGTGAAGGGAACTGTATGATGTCACACAGCTAGTTAGTGGCAGAGCTGGAATGAAAACTCAGCTCTCCTAACTCCCAGCACTGTGCTTTTCCCACTCCACTATTACTTGTTTGGGGTATATTATTAACTTAATCATATTAATATTTTTTCTTTAAATACGTTCCCTAAAAGAACTGCTGTCAAGAACAATTTCATTAAATCTTGGTCTGATGAAATAGATCCTTACATCTCAGTCATCCTGACTTGTCCCACTATGTCCAATGTCCCAGGAGTACAGAAATCCTCAGGAGCAAAATGGAGGGAGCTTTCTATCATCAAAAGGCACATCCTGAGTCCCAGGCTTCATCATTTTTTTCTTCTTCTTCCAGGATTACTTGCTATCACACTGTTCAGCACATGCTCATAAAGTTACACTTTACTACAACAATGAGGGGAATTTTAGAATGAGGATGATTTATAGGTAATGACGCTCACAAGTCAATCTACATTACAATTAGGAATGGTCTCTGCTCACAGAGGTTCCAAAGTAGCATTAAATAGTTTTGTTCAGAGGCTACCTATAGTCAATTGCTTTGATCCACCCTGAATCTACCTTCTATTCCAGGCTGAGCAACCTCTTTAAAAACACCTTCTATGTTCTCTGAAGGAGAAAAAATCTTTCTTACTTCATCCCCAGGTCCCCAAGTGCCTTCCTTTCCCATGAAACATTCTCAGACCACTTATCAGACATCTCAAACTGGATATCCAATAGACATCTTAAACTCAACATGTCCAAAAGTGAACCCATCTGCCCCTCCCAAACCCTCCTCTCTTCCTAACTACCCAATTATTTTCCAGGGTACTATCATCCTCCCAGACATCCAGCTTGGTAACCTGGATGTCATCCTCAACCACTCACTCACTCTCCCCACCCCAGCCTACTTGAACTCTAGTCTTCTCTCTGGGTGCCTGTACAAGGATTCAAAATCACATCACTGGAGACAAACGAAGTTCAGAGGACATGCTTTCACTCTGAAAGTCAATTTTTTCCCCAGGGCACTCCATCTCTGATTTTTAATAGTAATAAATGAAAGAAAGCAACTTAATTTTACTTCACAGTCTTTTCATTGATATGTCTATTATGTGTGCACATACACAGTATGTATGTATATGTATATATATATATATATATGTGTGTGTGTGTGTATATATATATGCATACACACACACACACACACATACATACTTCTTAGAGCAGTGTCTTCTCAGTCCTCATCCTCTTACACCTCTCTGAAATACTGATGTTGATAAACACCCCTTCCTTCTTGATTCTCTCTCCTCCTTTGGCTTCTTCCCACAGCTTTTTCTTCTCCTACTTCCCTGCTCCTTCTTGGTCCCCTTCACTGGTTCCTTTTCTTCCTTTTGATTCCGTGAGAGCATCTTCCAAGATTCTATCCTTTCTCTCCTCTATTCCTTCCTTCATCCTCTCCTTTCTCCACCCTCTCCTCCCTTTCTCTCTTCTGAACACTCTCTCTGTGAAGATTATGGGGTCACCTGAGTTGAAAGGCAGGCTGCTTTGTGAGGGAGGCTGGGTCATTTTATTTTATTATTTATTACTGTATTGTATATCATAATTATATCATATACTATATTATAGTATACATTACTATATACTATAACATCTTGTGGCTGTTAGGTATGTCCACAACAAATTCATGGGTTATCTAAACAGTGTCAATTTGTTTCTTTACCCCTAGCAATTGCGTTTGGTATGGCAGTAGTGAATTCTAACTCTCAGGTGTGTTTGTGACAAAGTGTGGAGTGTGACTAAATGAGTGGAGTACAACCAGGATATATAAGTGATGGAGAAGTTTTTGAGTGAGGAAAGTGGAATTATGGCATGGGGAAGGGCAAGGATCTATTTGAAGGTCCATAAGAGTAAAGGTGTAGCTAGTGTGACACTTGGAGATATGGAAGTCCCTTGAATAGTGTGCTTATAACTAGAATTATGGGGACCTGCAAAGTGTGAACACTGGTACGGATAGAGGCTAGCATAGTGTGATAGTGTT